ACCCTAAACCCTAAACCCTCGCCCCGCTCCACCCACACCCACACCCGGCCTCGATTGTTCCTGTTGTCCATGCCCAGCAAGACTGCCATGCTGCTCCTGAAAAGGTTTCGAGCTTGGGTTCCGAGGTTTAGGTCTGCAAAGCAGGCTCTAGGGATTTAGGGGCTTTGCATTTTGCCGTCGACGGACGGGGGGGGGGGGGGGTAGGGCGAAGGTTTACGGCGGATTTCGGTGACTGGGGATCGCGTGCTGTGTTCCAGATATTGGGGATCCTTGAAGAGATAAGAAGTGGGAGAAAAGGCTCCAGGATCTTGTTCTTTTTGCGAGTCTTAGGATTTCGGTGCGCTCGTCGTGGGGTGGTTTTGCAACTGTAGTTTGATGTAGTCTGAAAACCTGGCAAAGCTATGCGAAGACGGACGTTTGTAATCATCGCCTAATCCGAAAATAGAATCCTCAATCCCAGGATCCTACCGTCCCCTAAACCCTAGACCCGTTTTGAACCCAGACTCTGCTGATCAGCTGGGAAGCAGCACTGCATGATTCACACAATCCGGCATCAAACCCTAGACCCTAGACCCCGAATCCCAAACCCCCCCCCCCTATATGGGGGTTTCCGAAAATAGGGGACCTTAATATAGTACCCTAAATAGTAGGGTCCTTATTATAAGGACCCCAAAACCAGGTACCCCTAATTGTCGGAAAGTCCCATATATGGTCCCCCAACATGAGGCAGGGAGCCGGTAGGGCTATTATAGTCCCGTTTAGCAGCCCTTCTATGGACCCCTGTTTGCCCAAGCGCAGAAATCTCGATGTGTTCCCTAAACCCTAAACCCTAAATCCCAAACCGCTTTTGCAGGGGCCCAATCGTAGGGCTTCGAGCTCCCATGGTTCAACTCTCGTTAGGGTTTAGGGCTTAAGGGGTTTAGGTTCAGAGTGTAGGATTTAGGGTTCACGGCGTGTTTTGCTTTCGGTTTGAGAGTTAGTGCTTGCAGGGTCCGGGGGATTGTGGGTCTTTAGAGGGTCGTAAGTCTAAAGTGGTAAGGGGAATACTTACCCAAACCATAACATGAGTTCCTACTATAGAAAGCCTACGTTTTACTTTATAGGAATTTAGGACCCTGTGGGCATTGCTTGTCCGAGGCACCGCATGTTTCCGTCGACCTTGCCGTGGACGTGTTCTCCTGCAGGGGTTGACTCATCAATCGAACAAAAACCTACACCCCCGAAGCCCCCACCCACGACTTAGCGTCGACAACACCCAACACTTAGCCCCACGAAAGCTTCTAACTCATGCACCCTAGTTTTCGTCGTACGATTCAGGTTTATGGCGTTGACCCTCATGAGCGGGGTCAGGGTCTAGGTGTAAGCTTAAGGCCTATAAGGTCGAATCAACTGGATCTACACAGCCGCTGCCCCTAATGCACTGCAAGGCTCATGCCTGCATACGCCATGTCGAAAAGCGGGATTCTTGTTGACTTCAGGTTCAATGTTCCTGATTTTGCTCATCCGTCGAGGGTCATGGTCTCTCAACGAAGGAAAACTGTCAACTGTTTAGAATTAGGAATCGCAAGAGAAACCAAACAGTACCCAACCCTGAGAAGTGCCAAACTGGAAACACATGCACGCTCTGTTGCATATCGCAGAGCCGCCCTACTACTAGCTACTCCTCCTCCTGCTGCTGCCGCTGCCGCTACTGCTAAAACTGCGGCTACTACGACTACTCCTACTACTGTGGCTGCTGCTACTACTACTACTACTACTACTACTACGACGACGACGACGACGACGACTACGACTACGAGTAAGGTTGGCTGGTTGACAGCAACATGCTACCGTGGTGCTTTCGCTTGCAGATTTGGCAGGAA